TTTTTTTACAGTGTACCGACTGCAAAATATCTTGGACGACTTCCATGAATGTTCCCCTTTTCCCTGCAGGATGCATGCTTTTAATGCGACAGATTTCAGCAAATCTGCTGGAATTTTACAATCCTAAAGTCCAGCACAGCGACCGCCACAGCAACAGTCTGCCTTTGGTGGATTTCCAGGTGTAATGTGTGTGGATATAGGGGGGCGACGGGCAGCGCCGGGCACGGCAGCGCGTTCTGCTGACGCGGCTCGGCCGGAATAAAGTGACAGATCGTGTCGCAGTGGAGGCAAAGCTCAGGGGACAACCAGGGTTGGCAGGCGCTCAGGAAACGTGACCACACACACACACGTGCACACACACACACACAGCTAAGTGGATTCACCCCGGCTGGGCTTAACCCAACACTCGCAAGGCTGCCGATCCAAAAACCTGCTCTCACCTTTGACCCCTGCCAGAAGATCTGATTCATACGTCTGTCTGCATGTGGGTGGCTGCGCATGTGTGGGGTCAGTTTGGCGATCCGAAGCATGGCTGTCACACTGAGTCATGTGGTCACAGTTCATACATACTTGGTGTAGTTTTACATCCATTTTTCTTTTCTTGCATCCACATTTTAAAAAGAAAACTTGAATCAGGTCCATGTGAGAGCAGGGTTTCTTTGGACACTTGGGAGCAGAAATAAGGCCAACGTTGCTGCGAGTGGGGATGTCTGCAAGCGAGTTTAAGGCTGAACTACAACCTAACTACTACTTTTTTCTTTAGTTCACCCAAACAAATTATTTATTAATGTCAGTTACCACGTTAAACTTTACTTCCTTTCATATTGTGCCACATACCCACCTCTACCTCACAATGTAACTTAAATAAGTTATAATAAAGGCTAAAAAACCCTAAAATGTTTTTAAAAAATGGCTTTTGGAGCTGGACCAATCGTGCTGTACTTCATTAAAGGCTCAAAGAGGAATCCATGAGTTCATCTGCTAACAGAATGAGGATTATCCTGTTCTTAATGAGAGCTGCAACATTAACGCGAGTCCAAAGAAAGGGCAGCGTGTTTTCTCAGCCATCTGTTGTTTCTACAGCAATTTCTTGTAGTTTAATAACCGAAAACTTGAAATCTGCACATTTTTCACGGCCACATAAATGAATCTGATCTTAACAGTTCTCAGCGGAGAAGCGACGCATCCCTGACTCAGTTCGTGTCCATTTAACTTCAGCGTGTGGTGCTGAAGCGAGAGGAAATATCCCTCCGTCAGCTCTCTGGGGCTTCGAGCCACCTGAACAGACATTTTTCTCTCATCCATCTTCACACACACACACACACACACACACACACACGGTACTGTGTGACAGGAGGGTATGGCGTTATTGTGCACATAAGATGTAATTGTGTAAAAATGACTGATGTCTTTACACGCGCGCGTGCGAGCGACGGCGTGGCCTGGAAGACCGATGACAGCCTCTGTGTGTGCTTAATGCATTTATTGAGTAGCGTGAGGGGTCAGCCTCACAGCGTGACCTACATCCCTCCGGGTGCGCCTGGTCAGCGGGGAGACCGGGCAGAGGATGCGGGGCGACAGCCGTGATTGAAAGACT